CCCACATTGACGTTCCTGTTTCCTGGGACGTTGTCTGGATTGTTGCGCTTATTGTTCTGAGCAACAATCGCCCAAGCTGGAAAAAAATCGATGCGAAGGCACTAAAATGGAACAAGGTAAAGAAAAACGCACTTTTTACGATGTTTCGCAAAAAATTCTACTATAATCGAAGAGGTAAGGGCTGGGTGGTTGTCTGCATTATGAACAGAAGCAAGATCTATAGAATGCACGAAAAATCCGCGTGAAAAGAGTTAAACTAGAAGAAAAACAAGCGATTTTTGAAAACAAGGTTTTAGCCGGATTTATCGATCAAATCAAAAAATGTGGTTCTTGGACGTTGTCAGCGTGAAAATAGAGATCAAGAGCTTCAAAAAGATATATAGCTTGGTAAAAATGGGTTCGAAACAGCGAAGAAAAGGGTGCCAGAGCCAAATGCCCCGCGCCCCGCGTTTGGGGTAGCGAGGTAGCGCGCAGCGCGCGGAGACGCAGACGAGCAGCGGAGCCAGACCAGAGCCGACGGGGCATTTGGCTCTGGTCTAGATCTCCGCGGGGTTTCAACGAAATCCCGTAACATTATATATCATTCTAATCGTCATTTCACGGCGAGGAGAACTGACAACGTTCCAAGCTTTGAAAATCACTCATTAATGAGATAGACCAGCGTTTTCGTGCGCGACTTTTTGCGCAAGATTTAAGCGCAGTTTCTCCTTTTTATTTAACTCCAATAGCTTTCCTAAATTTCTGAAACTCGATTTTGGTCAAATGAGAGGTTAGCTTAGAAATCTTGTCTTGAACTGTGGCGAAAATTCCACAAAAACCTTCTTTTTAACATAAAAATGGCTATAAAGCAATTTATCGGTTTCGCTGTGATAACCTAGTAAAACTATTCCCTATATTTGCTTCATTAACATTCATTTCGATATAGTTAGGATAATAACAACCGGGGCTTCGTCCCGGATGACTTCTGTTTTTTTTTTCCAGGTAAAGGTTGTGTCCCCTCATAGCCCTCATAGTGAAGGTTGCCAGAGTACGTGGCTCTATGTATCGAGGGTATGGGTTTCGCTATTGCATCTTTACTTTTTTCCGTATTGGTTTATGATCAATTTATGTTTGTAACTCGTAGCACTCGCACTCGTAACTTTTTTCTCTACAGTAATACTGTGTCCTGACAATCAGCTTTCCTTGCTATTTGGTTTGCAACTATAGAAAAACACATGAAGACTGTAGAGCAGGTCTCGAACTTATGCTTATGGACAAACTGGATATCGTTTTGGTGTAGAAAAAAACATAGGGGCATAGTTTTGTTGGGTTCGGAGAGAGTAGCAGCTTAAGAATGCATGTCAGCTTAGCAATGGCGTACATGAAAAAATCGCCAGTGCTTTGTGAAAATCGAAGTCCTGGAAATGGTAAATTTTCGGAAGGCCTTTTGATCATGCAGTTTGAAATTGGTGTGAAATTGACCGAGTAAAAATATTTTGGGGAGTTGCCCTTTGCCTAAAAATATTTTGGGGAGTTGCCCAACTTTTTTGCAGCCTTCCCCTTTTCAAACAATGTTATCCCATCGCTATTGTCACATAGGCATACGCTTCTAACTTTCGTTCCACCACCCTTTCCACTTCCTTCCCCCCCCCCGCTCCACCCACACCCACTATCCACGCCTCTTTACACCAAATCTTCATCTTTTGAAGACTTCGCAAGTGTACATCTAGGGAGTTGAAATTACGTATGAACAACCATGGAAAAGTTGTAAGAACTGAAGACGTAGCAAACTTTCTCCGGATCTAGGTGATTTCGAGCCATGTGGAGGGCCACCTAAGGTGGCTCAGAGAAAGCAAATTCAAAAGTTTTCCTCTCTAAATAATTTTCTCACACTTTTTACATAACTTACACTTACTTTAAAGCGTGCTAATATGTGCTAATGCTGTGCTATGCTAATATGTGCTTTACGTGCTAATATCTTTACGGTCACTTCAAAACTCGATCCTTCATGCCTTAGTACTCTGTGTGTTCCTAACGGAGTAGAAGTTCGCTGTTTATCCCTGCCATCTAGGTGTTCTTTTATACGAATACATAGGGGACGTGCAGTTTCACCTACATACTCGTCTCCGCAGACGGTACAGGAAATGGAGTAGACCACGTTGGCCAATAAAGTTTGTAACAATCTCGGCGTTGGCTACAAGACATCAATCTCAACTTTTAAACTACTAGCTGGCTTACCCGGCTCCGCCGTATCCGGACCAAACTTGGCACACATACACTTTGGGCCCCGGCGGGTGTCACAGTCCACTTTTCGTTATCGATCGATGTCGATTTTACCGATTTTTATCGATTTTTCTGCAGAGTTCACCTACAGGGCTAGGAGTTGGCACAGGGGGGGAAGTGAGCATGGGGATTCCGAATACAATATTAGTTTTCAGAATTATCGATTAGTTTTATTGATTTTGTCGATTTTTTGTAAATTTTGACATGCGAGGCTGGGATTTTGCACAGGAGGGTAATCGAGCATGCTGATTACGAACACAATATTAGTTTTCAGGATCGTCCATTACTTTTATCGATTTTATCGATTTTTTTGTAAAGTTTGACCTGCGGGGCTGGGAGTTTGCACAGGGGGTAATCGAGCATGCAGATTACGAATACAATATCAGTTTTCAGGATCGTCCATTACTTTTATCGATTTTATCGATTTTTTGAAAATTTGAGCTAGGGGGCTGGAATTTGGCACAGGGGTGTAATCGAGCATGCTGATCACCCCCCTTGGGATGATCAGCATGCTCGATTACCCCCCTGTGCGAACTCCCAGCCCCGTAGCTCAAACTTTGCCAAAAAATCGATAAAATCGATAAAAGTAATGGACGATCTTGAAAACTGATATTGTATTCGGAATCCCCATGCTCGATTACCCCCCTGTGCCAACTCCCAGCCCCGTAGGTGAACTCAGCAAAAAATCGATAAAAATCGATAAAATCGATATCGATCGATGACGAAAAGTAGCCTATGACACCCGCCGGGGCCCGAAGTGTATGTGTGCCAAGTTTGGTCCGGATCGGTTCAGAAATGGAATTTTCTATTCGGAACATACGTACAGACAGACATACATACATACATACATACAGACATTCAGCTTTATATATAAGATGCCGAGATTTATCGAGAGTCGTACATGCTATTATTCTTGTGTTTAACTCAGAAAAAATGCTCCTCGCATTGGTTTCCTTGACACGTCTGCCAATGATAAGCGAGATAATTTCGAAGATCCTCGGACATGCACGGTACGCTTCATTCACTTGTACATATCTTACAAGGGATGCCTTTTTAGTCGAAGTGGACTTTCCACATATCAGCTATATCAGTCTATAGAGCCTTGAACGTTCATTCCAAACCTGCCATCATTATCTGCCAAGCTTCTGAAGCCCAGTTATGAGCGTTTTTTGGCTCGAAAGATGTAATGCGCAATTGAAGCAAAATGGTCCATAATTGCTCAAATGGTGTTAATTATCAAAGCACTTCATTTAATGAATACTCTCTGTGTAATACCCTCATAGTTAACACTGCTGCATCTGGGGGCAGAAAAAAATCGTAACCATTAGTTTTACATAAATTTTGCGTTCATATTTCGCTGAGAAAACATTCATAACTCAGCGTCAGGTGTGCTTGGCAGATAAAACAGATTTGGAATCAACGTACGCTCTCTATAGTGTTATAGAGCTCGATAAAAAAGGCCATTTTGACTAGAAAGGCTTCCCTAATTAGTTAGAGGTAGAAGCAGAATTTGAAGAAGTTTCTTTGATTCTACTCCTATTATGCTAACAAGTATTAGGTTGAACACTAAGTTTTGCAACTGGTTTCACAACTTTCCTCTCACTCAACATCGCGCACTCAAATTTTGCCACTGTGTTGGTTATGACATAAGCTACAAGCGCAGCTGCTGTCACCAAATTCTGACGTCGCAGTGAAGGTTACGGTAAGGGTATGGTAAGAAGGAGAAAAATTCAAAGTTTGACGGATTTAGCTGAAACTTGGCATAGGGGTGTTATCCGACATGCTGATCACGAAAACGATAGTGAAATTGTGTGATAAGGGCTTTTTTGTAGGATTACTGTAGGTGTACGGTATGGGGTCTCACCCTAAACAAGGAAAATGGGGTTGATTCAACAAATGAATGTGATATTCGCGTTTGGCAGGTCAAATAACTTTACTATGCAAAGTCTCGGCGGAATTTGAGCTTCGGACTCTTTGGTCCTTGACGGTCGTCCCCAGCAGCTCTTGCGTACATCGACTCGTTCGACTTTATGAGGACGCCAAATCTCGACATGTCATTATGTTTTGTTTTTTTCTTAATAGGCCAAAGGAATCAACCTCCAGCAATAATTTATAGACGAATCCGGATTACTGCGCATGGTCTAGGCTGCCAAAGGCTTCATTTTAGCTTGAAACCTCAAAAATTCTCAAATTTCACTAGTTTCCGAAAAATGCCTGAAACTTTTCTATTTCGTGTTCAAAATTCAGACAATTTGTGCTCTCTTGTAGCTCACAGTGCATTCTACATGATGCCAAAGTTTGAGTGCGCCATGTTGAATGAGAGTGAAGTTATGAAACAAGTTGCAAAACTTAGTGTTCAACCTAATATTTACTATTCATTATTTTGCTTTAGCGATACTCATTTGCACTAGAATTCTCTTCACCATTTAACACGATCATAATTGTGTAAACTTTCAAATTTAGTGATGTTGTTGTGACGATATCTTATTATCGTTGATTTTTGCTGCCATTTTCATTTTGGTGAAAGGTTTGATTAACCAAGTTCAGGTGTTGAAGTAAAAAGCCCCGCACGAAGTTGACTCAAAAATTTATCCGTGTCTTTAAAAAATGCTAAAAAAACATCTAGAAAAAATGCTAAAAAACCAAGACAAATATCCATTTGTAGGCACATTCGATCGCAATGTTATTTTTCGTAACTTCTAGGGTGTTTGAACTGAACAGCCTCATTTGGACCAATCTCAAGTCCACATTCTCCTAAGTTCGTCAAAGTAAGCAGCTCCATCGATTTGATTGCCATCGTTCAGGCGCGGGCTCTCCTTATCCTTGATGAAGATGCCAGCCAATCTTGGCTGCAGAAGAATGAGCAGCGTGGGAGTGAGAAACACACTCAGAGCCAAAGACTAAATACCATTTTTTAAGAACAAAAGTATACGGAATTTGAACTTACCAAATTGTATGTGTGCGCCAGCAGCCTCATAGTAAAAGCACCCAATGTAAATCCTATGTAAAACACATAGAGTCGGAATCCAAACTGACAAATTCGTGTGACAAACAGTAGGATATAAACGGGGGAAATCAGCTGCACAACACACATGTTCTCTCGACATTGATAGCTTTGAGAAAGTGTGTGATTCGGTCCGTCTAGATGATGTCGCGACAAGCGTCGGGTTATACGAAGCAGCTGAGAAATGTGTTTACCATGGCCAAGGTGTAAGGAGGGATAGGGAAGGAACTTACGATGTAACCAGCGAGATTCGTGGCGGAAGTTACATAACCTACGTGCATAAGCGTGGTTGCAGGTGTTTCTTGGTAAACATCGCCATTAGCAATGAATAAGAAATAACTGGAGCCATATAGAATAATTGTCTGAAGTAAATAGCAGGCCTACAGTCTAGCTTGAAGTAAACTACTCACCAAAGAAGCAACGAGTCCAATACTATGATAGATTGAATTGAACATATGTTCATAATGTCTGATGAGTATCGAAGCAAAGAGGCGCTCGACTGAGATCAAAAAAGCCGAAATGTCCAGTTGTAGGATAAATATCAATTGGCCTATCCGAGAAAAATTGTCGACAGTTCCAATCCACGAAGACTGGTATGTACGACCTATCAACAAGTTTTTTCTGATTTGCAAAGTGTACACAAGACAGAAAGTAAAAACAATCAAGTTGCTAATCTGCAAGGCTTTTCATCATGCAAAAACGTCTATTGAGGAATGAGATGCTAAATTTGCTTACTGTACCAAAATACAAAAAAAAATTTTTTTAAGAAGATGACTTACCCAGAAATAGACGCACAGGTACCATATATATGCGGAAAACTGAATTCATAAACATTCCAAGGCACATCAAATTCATGAGGATCCTAAAATTTTAGGCAAAATCATAGATTGTCTGCATTTTTTCATACTTGCTGGATATAGAGAGCCAGTTAAATTTTCCCATGTTTGAAGCAGGAAATATTGAGCAAATGACAAATATTTTTCCAAATATTTTACATTGCAAAAGTACTCGTTTTTTATAGCCATGAAAAAAAGCAGAACTGAGATTTTTTAGGTGAAGTCGTGCTGAAGAAATCAAAAAAATTACCTTAACATATTATGAAAACGCCGATTCAATCAAGATATAGCTAGATATGTTGCCATTACAATGATAGATATGATCAGCAAGATCATCTCTACTGCGTAAGCTACTCCGTTGCATAGCACCATATCAAGTCCGATATTCTTACTGTAGCGATTTATCTCATTCGTGTCATTGTATTCAAACTGCAAAGCGTTTAGATAAAAGACGAAATAATCTGACAAGAGCAAATCAATAAATCCTGGCCATTCCGAAAAATACCTTACCATTTCAGAGAAGTTTGCTCCCGCTTTCGCTATGTGATGTGGTGCACCAGACTGTCTACAAGCTCTTTTGCATTGGCTATTCTCTACTATATGATTACGAAAGTGAGGAGGATGCAAATTAAGAGTAAATATCCAAAAATGGCCGTCTGAAGAATGCAGAATTGAAAGAAATGCATACTATAAGGCTGCAACTGACTGGAAAGCAAACGTGTGGAATAATTCATAATAGCGTTCAATTTCTCAGGTTGTTACGACTAATTACGGCCGAATTAGTCTTTATTAGAATATTGCGGAACCATTTAGCACCTTGTAGCCGTTTATGTAATTCATTGTGCAGAGACATGTAAAAGTAAGCATATAAAACAAGAAGATACTACGGGATCACTAATCAGTGTCTGGCATGAACAAAGCAAGATTCATTTAAATTGTACTATGAATAGACATGTATCAGGTTGCCGCAAAAGTCTATTTAATGACGAGAACCTGCTTATCTCCACTTTTCAAATTATACTGAAATTTAACTATAGAAACTATTTGCGAAAACAATGCAAGCTGGCCTTCAAAGAATTGCAAAAGATTAAATCTACGTGAAGTTTGAAGCCGAAATCCAAATTACCTCGTTCATTTTTCAATCCCAAAATTTGGATCTCTGCAAGGGAAACGACGTGAAGAATCAACTCATATATGTACTTTTCACGTTTTATATGTACATATCATCTCCTATGATGCCAATGCAACATTAAAAACGCGACGGCTAGTATGCTCCAACCCGTGTATGGCTATCGCTGAACGGAAAATGGCTGAACGATACAAATGTATATTCATATATATATTCATTCATATGGTCAATGCATGTTTTCCATCAAGCAGCAAAGTAGGTTGAAATTACTAAAGGCGCAAAAAATGTCGCCTTTCTCGATTCTTCGTATCAAATTTATTTTTCGAAAACTGAAGCTCATGGGAAGCTAATACTGGTTTGCTTACAAAAATGCATACTGATCTATAATTTTGAAGAAGTGCAGCATTGTTTTGACAAGTATGCAAATTTCGTTTCCTCATGTTCTAGCAATAGAAACGTACAGTAAATGTACATGTGCTTGATGTTGAATGTTTATGCTCCAGCATGTTCCAAGTTCGCGCCATCGCGCCAATTTTCATGACAAAAACTCGATTTTTTTATCGAAATCTCGGGCAGAACATAGATATTCTCTTAAAACTTCATGTGTACCAAACCTGACATAAAAAAATAACAGCAGAGCTTAGATTGCTTTGCTTTATCGAAACTTACCCACAATCTTACTAAGAATGTTAGAAGAAATGGTTCACTATGGTTAAGAATCATTATGAAAAGAAACTTACGAGAAAGCCCCTAATAGATTGAGAGTGGTTATTATGTGAGTCATTTGATTCTTTCTTGTTTAAAACGTTGACGTTTATTCTTTCAATAATCATAAATTACTAGTTGTACACTATGAGATGCACAAAAACTTCACATCTTCATCTGATTGCACCATTTCGCAACCAAAAACTCAAATGGTAAAACAGAGTCAACCATTCGACTTTCCTTGATTTGCTCTTTCCGATAGTACCGTATTCATACACTAGCTGGCTTGCCCGGCTCCGCCGGGCCTGCCAGCTAGACCCGTGTACGTATGTTCCGAATAGAAATTTTTATCTCTGAACCGATTGGGACCGAACTTTGCACACATACACTTCGGGGCAGGGAGCGTGTCACAGCCCACTTTTCGTTATCGATCGATGTCGATTTTACCGATTTTTTGCAAAATTTGAGCTAGGGGGCTAGGATTTTGCACAGGGGGGTAATCGAGCATGCTGATCACCCCTTCGGGGTGATCAGCATGCTCGATTACCCCCCTCTGCCAAATCCCAGCCCTCTAGCTCGAATTTTGCAAAAAATCAATAAAATCGACATCGATCGATAACGAAAAGTAGCCTATGACACGCTCCCTGCCCTGAAGTATATGTGTGCCAAGTTTGGTCCCGATCGGTTCAGAAATAAAAATTTGTATTCGGAACATACGTACATACATACAGACAGACATACAGACAGACAGACAAACAGACATTCAGCTTTATATATAAGATAAATTCGTCTGTAGCATGTTCACAGATCGCCAAAAATGAATTATGATATAGCGAAACTAATGTTAGCAAAATAGTGGTTAACAAAAGAAGTGTAAATATTGCTGATGAAGATGGAAGAGGTCACAATGAAATTCCGGCAAAAGGGCAATTCCTGTGATAAGATTCCCTTGCATCAGCAATTTTTGTTTCTCAAATGTCTAGATAAAAATATTGCACCTTAAAGGCAGCGGACAGGCAAATTGGACCCCTGTCAGATTTTGGTAGTTTCGGGTAGTGGACCCCCCAAGTACATCGTAGCCCCAACCCCACATTCCAATCATGCGCTAAGTCCTGAAAAAAGCGCTTCAAAACTCCACCAGCCCCGCCCACTTCCATTAAGTGGGCGTTATTGGTGGAAGTTTGAAGCGCTTTTTTCAGGACTTCGCGCATAAACTGGAAGTTGGGGTTGGGGCTACGGTGCACTTGGGGGGTCCACTACCCGAAACTACCAAAATCTGACAGGGGTCCATTTTGCCTGTCCACTGCCTTTAAGCGAAGATACGTAAAAGGTCCAGAAGAGATGGAAGTCATACGGATTTGGTGCGCTGCGGTTTAGAGGGCCTCACTATCAAACGGTCACAGTAGAGTGTGGGTGAAACAAGTGGGGACCAGAATGAATTGTGGGAACGGCAAGCGAAGCGGATTATTAAGGAAAGGCATGTGCGCTCTTGTTCAATAAACCCCCAGGGTGGCAAGGCGTTGAGTTTCGGGATCCACTTTGCTTCCATGCGTTGAAATCTAAGATAAAAATAATTTAGTGAAACAGTCTACAGTTTTTACATATGTTGTGCCTCTTGAACCGTTTTTTCTCTTTCAATCATACATAGCTATCATCAAGATGAGGTCCATGCAGCAAATTCTATCGAAAATAAACTTGCACTTTTCTTATCTTTCGTTGACTCATCTTTTGCTTCTCAAAGTGGACATTGATATCGCCTTTTATTCTAGACTTGAAGAAAGGAAAGCACAAAACCACTATCTTTCAAAACTTCCAAGAGTGAAGCCGACTGAAGAAGAGGCGGTAATTAGCTGAGAAAAATCAAATATTAGGGCTCGCACCACATTACGTGCCATGACGGTACGGCGTTTCAACTTGAAGTAGAAATCCTGTCATTTGAGCTTGTTCAGCACGCAAAACTTTGAAGGCATTCAGATCTTCACGGCACAAACAATGAATGCGAAGAAGAACGTATTACCTTAAACAAGAATTATCGGCCTATCAATTTTCATGTGCATTTGATCATGAGCACGTATAAAAAAGAGCTGAGGAATGGTCTTGTCATAGGGTGTTCGCTACAGCTCTCGTGCTGTCATCCGAGGTAGGTTGACTACTTGTGATTCCGCTGACGATTTAGCTGGGAATTTGGACTGATTACTTTGTTGAAGGCTGTGAGATATGATTGATTTGACCTTGACCTTCCAGATTCTGACAAAAGTGAAGGCGCCGAAACCTCGGCCGATAAAGAGTTTAAAATAATTTTGACTGTTTGCTAAGACAAATGATATACATACATACATTTATTCATCAGCGGTTATACATATACAGAATACCGCGATGATTGCTTGAGTTAGGCAACCTCGATCTCGATCGCTTCGTTGACAGGAATCCATTCTCGCTCGTGCCAAACAGCTCCTTCTCGTGACGTCTCGATCTTGATCCACGACTTCTCAACTAGTGGACGCGGTGGACCAACCACGGTTTTTCACCTTGTCTTCTTAACCCTATCCCTCCCTGGTGGATGGTATAGGCCAGAGACAAGAGCAAGCCGACCGTTTGCGGGAAGAATGAGGAGAGAAGTGAAATAATACTTTATAGAAGCATATAACATGCCAAGGTTAAAAGACAGCCGGACATGGAAATTGAAACAAAATAATCCAGAGTTGCTGAAATGGTCAGGTGTTGACTCTCAGAGCATTTCACATAGGAGTACCTTCCGTCTAATGCCTCCATAAGCAACAGCGCT